AAGCAAAAAACAAAATAACAAAAACAAAAACAAGATAAAATGTAACACCAAGAATAATAAATACAGTTAGCATCAAGCTGCCATGCCTACCATAACCGATCAAGAGAGCTTCAGCCGCGGGCATGCGCGCGTGGAAACTTGCACCGTGTCGGAAGCAGGCAAAAATTGCACGCTGCTCAGTCGGTCCAGATAGGCAAGCTCTACCATTGCATACGACGGCAGGTGGGAGAGACGCAGCGTGGTCACCCAAGAGGCCTGGCTCAGGGTCAACTGTCGCAGGGAAGCACACTTGGCAAAGTCTAGTGCCAGTGTTCCACGACTCCCACGAACGTTACAAAGCGTAAAATTCAAAGAAGTCAGCGCTGCGGCATCTCGGACAAAGGCTTGCACTTCCTTGGCGGGCAAGGCCTCAAAGCACCGGAGCTCAACATCGACCATTTCCGTTGCCAACGCTTGGCATCGTCCCCACAGAGCCGCCTGTGCCCGAGACGTGAGCGGCTTGTCCACACATCGCAACAGCGCGGTCAGCTGCGAGGCAGTCAACTGATCGAGCGCCTCACGACCAACACGTGACTCAACCATGGCGCTAAGTAGAGCAGTAAGTGGCCCGCGTGGCACCGTGCTCGTGATAGGCATTTCTGTCTGCGAGAGGAAGCTCTCGGGTAGGCACACGGGCAGGTGGCTGGGTGGTGCGACTGCAGCCAATGGTCCTGACACCAGGAACTGAAGGCCCTTGAGACGTCGCTCAAGTTGCTTGAGAGCCTCCGCCAACTGATCCAGGCGCAAGGTAGGGTCGGTCATAGCCTCATGGTCAACGAAGCGCGCCGTCAAAAGAAGCCAGCGCTGGGTACGCTGGTCCGCGAGAAAGAAGCATCGCCGCGTGCAACTCTGGCTTTGCTGTTCAATCGCCTCCCACACAAGTGAAGGCAGATGGCGCTCCTCGTTATAAGGTTCACACTCCAACTGTAGGTTGAGGCGCGGCTCAGCCACGGGAAAGGTAAAATCGCTCAGGTCGACTTGATCATGTGACTCGAGCACAGCGCTCTGACTCGGTGCTGGGCCTGCGCTGAGTAAGCAGAGAAGAGTCGCCACCTCCAGGAAAAGACTCGTGTTGCGATATCGTGTAGCCAGAAGCAAATCCATCCAGACGGCATCAGGGGCAATGTCCTCGTCCACCGCTGTTTGGATGTTTGGCAGTAACCGTTTGAGCCAAAGCATGGCGCGTGATCCACCGTTCGAGCCGAGCCGGAGGAAACTGCGCACTGCTTCCTCGTTGCCGTCTGCCAGCGCGTGTTCGACAGCGCACAGGCTACAGGCAGGCATGCAAGCACACGAAAGGTGAGACAACGGCACGAATGCCAACCTGTGAGCGCAAGGACAAGTGCCTGATGCAAAAGCACAAACCCGGAGGCGTCGAGCTGGTCAATCTCGAGCCCATAAGCTACAAGCATGTCCAGCTGCTCGCCCAGTCCCGCTGGGTCCTGTCCGATCTTGTCATATAGCACGTGGGCCAAGGCACGACCATTCTCATCAACCTGCAGCATATTATCATGCAAGACCTGCACAACGGCAGGAGTGGGGCGATGGCCCTCGTTGTAAAGGTGATGGAGAAGAGTATGATAGGCAGCGCCTCGCAATCGAATTTTGCTCGCTAGCAGGGCCGGAAAGATGCCTGGCAACGTGGCCGCCTGAACTGCGGCCCAGGCATCGCTGGCACCGGCACGTGCTGCTCCGACGTCATCAAGCAGCTCTTGAACCAAGTCCAGCGGTAGGGGTGCGAGGGCGCCGGCATCTGCGGCTGTCCAATCCTGCTCTACGTCTGTGAGAACAAGACCCAGCTCTTCGAGCACGCATGGTCGCTGGGACGCAGCGTAGCGCTCCGGATTGGCGTACACACGGCGCAGCACCACGTTTGGGCGGTCATCGGTTGATCGCATGTGGGCGTACGCTCCCTGAGCGGTGGGCAGGATAGCTTGAAAGAGATCATCCAAGCATAAATTTGGGCGGCCAAAGTCCAGGTGACCCAACCGGCGCAAGGCCAGGCTGAGAAAGCGCATGTACCAACGTGGTACGCGGCACGGCAATTGCAGGCTTTCGGCTAGGTGAGGCGAGACCACGCCTTGCCGCACATTTGTCTGCACGCAGTCTGTAAGAACAAAAGAAATGAGCAAAAGCCTAAAGCTCTCGAAGTAGAGCGCATTGAAATGGAGGGGACGGGGCACGAAAACGGCAGCAAAAGGCCAGTCCATGACTGGCCAACGACACGGGCACAAAGCGAATTTCTGCTCAGGTGAACTCACCGTTACAGGCGGCAATGCGTTCAAGCGCATTGAGGCGGACCGCTGCGTTGCGCCACCGGGCCACTTGACGTCGAATGACGTCGGGAAGCGGGCGTCGCATGATAACCGTACTACAGGCGATGAGGGAACGGAAAGAGAGGCGGTGACGATGATCGTGCTGCTCAATGTAAGGGGGGTCGAGCACTCGATCATAATCGATGCAGATAATCTCATCGGGTGCGTGGACAATAAAGTTGTCGCCCTTGGCGTCAGAGGCCAGCGTCAAGAGTTGCCAGAGGAAGGACTGGCACAGGGCTGGGTGGTGGCGGGCCAAGTCGGCCTCCGTACGCAAGAGGTCGGGCAGGGCGTCTCCCAACAATGGGCCTTGTACACATCGCGAAGCATGGACGACACGATTGGCCCAGCGCCGATGCTTATCAATGTCACGCGACAGTTCAGGACTCTGCAAAAGAAAGTCTTTGCGACGGAAGGGGCTGGTGGTGTGCTGTTCAGGTGAGCCTTCGCCGTTGAAGCGCTGCTGTTGATCATGAACGGCTTGCAGCAATGCTTGGCTGCGCCGAAGTGAGCCCTTGAGGTTGTGGCGGGGGTACATGGAGACGCGGCGTAGAAGGAGCACACGCTTGTCTGCGATCAGCGTGGCCTCGGGAAACAAGACGCGTGCCATGGCAGCGGCAACACATTCGGTCGGAACCCGCAGCGAGCCCTCGTTTTCCCAGTCGGTGGCCTTATAAAAAACGCCGCGAAACTGCAAGAGACAACAGGATGCATGAGCGACAGAAAGAGCAAGACAGCGGTTCGAGACAAGCAGGATGACCACCGGGCTATGACGAGGAGCGCCAATAGTGATGGGCGGTGAGAAGAGATGAGCGGATGACCTACGCAGAAGGTGCGGTGGGTTCCAGTCGTTCGGGAGGCTTCGCGCTGCATGAGCTCATCCTCTTGCAGCAGGTACTGCGCCATGCGTTGCGTCATGCGCCCACTCAATTCACCCGTCACATCCGCCACGTCTACATGACCGTGGTCTGAATGGTTCTGTCATGATCACCAATACCGGTGAAGAGCATTGCAGCTTGCGTGAGCAACTGAAAGGCTGGCCTGGCGCTAGGGGAAGGGGCACGGGTGCGGGTGGAATTGGGAGCCCTACAGGGCGAGGATTCTGGCAGGCGTACCTTCAAGAGAAGTTCATTACGTGTAAAGGGGACCAGGACTTCTGGTGGATTTGTGGGCAGGGTTCGGCAAAGGTTGGCAAATTGCTTGTAGTGCTGGAGGAGTGGCTCAAAGATGGCACCCAGTCGGCGAAAGGCAGAGCCATGCTCACGGGCCAACGCTGCAAGAGCCTCGCAACGCGCAGCCAGGGGTAAAAGGGATTGCTCGAGTTCACCGTTTGGCGGCCCAATACTTGGACTGATGTCGTCCAATACCACCAGCGTCTCCGGTTGAGCCACATGCCAATCGCAGGCAGGTATGTGCGGGGCTGAGCTGCTGCGACTCGCGAGCATGAGCCATGGCACGCGGCTGAGGGGAGCCTTGGGTTTGTGGCGCATGCCGGCCTCCTTATAGCGTATGGGAAGCAGGCGGTCAAGCTGCGTGCAAAGGTCAGCCAGCTTGGAAGCCGAAGGCGTGGGACTCAGAGCACCCTCCAGGCCTGAGCCAAAGAGCGCCACGCTGACATCCCGCCGCCGCTGGCGGTCGTGCTTTTCAGCCAGATAGGCTTGCAAGCGCAAGCAAGTGGTGAGCACAACGTTTTGATGCATACAGGTGGCCAGGATCAGCTCTTCCATGGTGCCTTCAGCCTCTTCCAAGAGTTCGGCGCCTGTGGGGGCCCGGCTACGCCCGCCTGTCGATGTGCTGAGAGAGGCGCGGCTCGTCATTGTCGCGAATAGGGGTAGCCAGCAGTTCACGGGCAGACCCGGCCAAGATACCGGTCCTTTCGTCCTTTAGCGACCAGCGCTGTAAGTCTGGGCCATGGTCGCGCCACTCAACTTGCAATGCACCCGGGCACTAGGTCGTCAGCCTGCCCTCGCTCTCAATGGTCCTAAACACGAGCAGCAGCACACCATCAGCTCAGCAACCCAGTCCAACCAGGATCAAGCACCGTGTCAACCAGCGCATCTCATGCAAACCCCCTTCCCCTGATTTCAAATGCCCAAGACCCCCTTGCCCCGAGGTCTGACTTCCAGGAGCAGGACAGCACAGGAGAGCCCGACCAACCTCCAATTTTTTTTTTTCGAGTTTTTCGGGTTTTTTTTCAGCTTCTGTCACAAAAACGTTGCGGATTCGCAATTTTGCGCGGGAAGGAGATTTGAAACGGATACTTGTGCAAAAGTGTATCATTTAAAGCTCAAAAACTTGGTCAATTCACATTCCTAATTATCGGCCCTTACTGCAGCTTTGCTCTCTCTCTCTCTCTCTCTCTCTCTCTCTCTCTCTCTCTCTCTCTCTCTCTCTCTCTTTGTTTGCGCCTCTTTCTTTTGTCTCTCTCTCTCTCTCTCTCTCTCTCTCTCTCTCTCTCTCTCTCTCTCTCTCTCTCTCGCTGTGACTCTCTCTGTCTCTCTCTCTCTCTCTCACTTTTTGGTTCACCGACATCATGGCGGCACCACAAACCCGTGAAGGTGCGTGACCCGGGTGTGCGGGGGGAGGAGGAAGGCAGGCTTGCAGGGATGGTGTTGCGTGAGTGATGTTGTTGGTTTAGGGGCAACTGTGGTAGCAGATGTTTTTGGGGGCTCTGAAAGAGTGGAGAGGCGGGAGAAGGAAGGGGTACATCGTCGACGCACGTTGAGGTGGTCGGCTGGCACTGGGCCGTCCGTGCGGTCCGATGGCTGTGGATGGGCTCGATGTCTGACGTGTGCCCATTGGCTTTGGCTCTTTGTCAACCAATGGTGTACTGGGTCTTCCTTCGTTGTTCTTTCTTGCTTATTTCCCGTGTGCTGGTTTTTTTTTTTTTTTTCTTTTTTGCCTTGCATCTGACCTATCTGGTGCTCTTGTGCCTTCTCTTGCCTTCCTGATAGAGCTTGAGGCTCAGGTGGCGGCCATGACCCGCAAGAACGGGGCTGGTAACGGGCAGGGTGTGTCGCTATCCGGTGCGGGCCAGTTCGATGATGACGTCTACGGGAAAAGCGGGGCTTTTGATAGCTCAATTGGTCCTGCCGGCGACACGGACGACGTCGGCATGTCGACCGACGTAAGCATGAGCAGTCGCCAATATACTGCCTCCCAGGCTCTGGTGGATGAAGTGCGCCAGCAAGGCCCAGAGGAGGATCCGTTCGCCCCTTACCGCCGTGAGCGTATTGCCGACCGTGAGACAGAGTATCAGGCGCGTCGCCACAACCGCATCATCTCCCCCGAACGTGCCGACCCCTTCGCCGAAGACGAGGCCCCGGCCCATGCTCGCACATACTCGGACGTGATGCAGGACCAGGCTATCGCCAAGGAAAAGAACGAACTCTTGCGCAAACTCCAGAAGCAACAGCAAGAGGAGGCGGAAGAGGCTCAGAAGCGTGGCGCGGCTGGTGGAATGGACACTCAGGCTGATGCCCCGCCCCGCCCAGCTACCAACACCGCCAAGCGCGCGGCCGGCTGGGACGATGAACCTGCCACGTCCCAGGCACAGAGTGCGACTTCTGGAGCTGCATGGGATGACAGCGAGGGCACCGGTGGTGCCACGTCCTCAGCCTCTCGCTGGGATGCCCCGACACCCACGCGCAAGAAATCTCGCTGGGATGAAACGCCAGCCAGCAGCACGGCCAGCAGTGTGACAGCAACGCCCACGCGCAAGAAATCTCGCTGGGATGAGACGCCCGCCAGCACACCCACCAACAGCAGCATGATGGCGGCCACGCCCGTCAACTACGGCGCCACGCCCATGGGGGCAGCAGCCATGGGCATGGCTACCCCCTCGCTTACTGCTGAGCAAATGTCGCACATGACTCCGGAACAGGTCCACACGTATCGCGTGGCAAAGGATATTGACGAGCGTAACCGACCCATGTCAGACCAGGAGCTAGACACGCTGCTACCGCCGGATGGGTACAAGATTTTGGATCCACCCGAGTCCTACCGTCCGATCAACACGCCCTCGCGCCTCCTCAGTGCCACGCCTACGCCCATGGCCGGTGATCAGGGCTTTGAAATGCAGTTGGAAGACCACGACAAGAGCCGCTTTGGCGTGACAACACTGAACGACGATTCTTTGCCCGCCCTCAAGCCTGAGGATGAGCAGCATTTTGCCAAGCTCATGGAGGACGTGGATGAGAGCCAGCTGGACGTGGATACCCTCAACGAGCGCCGCATTATGAAGCTCCTGCTCAAGGTGAAGAACGGCACACCGCCCATGCGTAAGACGGCCCTGCGCCAGATTTCAGACAAGGCGCGCGAATTTGGCCCGGGCCCCCTCTTCAACCAGATCCTTCCCCTGCTCATGGCTCCCACGCTGGAAGACCAGGAGCGTCACTTGTTGGTCAAGGTCATTGATCGCGTGCTCTACAAGCTCGATGACCTTGTGCGTCCCTATGTACACAAAATCCTCGTCGTGATTGAACCCCTGCTGATTGATAAGGATTATTACGCGCGTGTGGAGGGCCGTGAAATCATTTCCAACTTGGCCAAGGCTGCCGGCCTTGCCACCATGATCTCCACCATGCGCCCGGATATCGATGACATGGATGAATACGTTCGCAACACGACTGCGCGTGCCTTTGCCGTCGTGGCCTCGGCCCTTGGTATCCCCTCGCTGCTGCCCTTCTTGAAGGCTGTTTGCCGCAGCAAAAAGTCATGGCAGGCCCGCCACACAGGCATCAAGATTGTGCAGCAAATTGCCATCCTCATGGGTTGTGCCATCTTGCCCCACCTCCGCAACTTGGTTGCCATCATTCAGCACGGCCTCACGGACGAGCAGCAAAAGGTCCGCACCATCACAGCCCTTTCCCTGGCCGCCCTGGCCGAAGCGGCCACGCCCTACGGTATCGAGTCCTTTGATAGTGTCTTGATTCCCCTCTGGCAAGGTATCCGCGAGCATCGTGGCAAGGGCTTGGCTGCCTTCCTCAAGGCCATTGGCTACATCATTCCACTCATGGATGCCGAAACAGCGGGTTATTATACCCGTGAAGTCATGGTCATCCTTGTGCGTGAGTTTCAGTCGCCCGATGAAGAGATGAAGAAGATTGTGCTCAAGGTGGTCAAGCAGTGTTGTGCGACGGACGGCGTGACGGCAGCTTACATCCGTTCGGACATTTTGCCCCATTTTTTCAAGCACTTTTGGAACCAGCGCATGGCATTGGACCAGCGCAACTACCGCGAGCTCGTGGACACGACTGTTGAGCTGGCCAACAAGGTTGGTGCTCGCGACATTGTCGAGCGCCTTGTGGACGATCTCAAGGACGACAGTGAGGTCTACCGTAAGATGGTGTTGGAGACGGTCGACCTGACTCTTAGCAACCTCGGTGCGGACGACATTGACTCGGGCTTGGAGGAGCGGCTGATGGATGGCATCCTCTACGCCTTCCAGGAGCAGGTGACGGAGGACCGCGTTATGCTAAACGGCTTTGGCGCTGTAGTCAATGCCCTGGGCACGCGCGTTAAGAGCTACCTCACGCAGATTGCCGGTACCATTCTATGGCGTCTGAACAACAAGTCAGCCAAGGTACGCCAGCAGGCTGCTGACCTGGTATCGCGGATTGCAGTGGTGATGAAAAAGTGCGACGAGGAGCAACTGCTGAACCAGCTGGGTGTTGTGTTGTACGAGTACCTGGGTGAGGAATATCCCGAGGTCCTCGGCTCCATTCTTGGCGGCCTCAAGGCCATTGTGAGCGTTGTGGGCATGGAGCGGATGAAGCCTCCCATCAAGGATCTGCTGCCGCGCCTAACCCCCATCTTGAAGAATCGTCACGAGAAGGTGCAAGAGAACTGTATTGATTTGGTGGGTCGTATCGCCGATCGTGGTGCCGAGGCCGTCTCCTCCAAGGAGTGGATGCGTATCTGCTTTGAGCTGCTCGAGCTGCTCAAGGCGCACAAGAAAGCGATTCGTCGCGCCACCGTCAACACGTTTGGTTATATTGCCAAGGCCATCGGCCCTCAGGACGTTTTGGCCACTTTGCTCAATAACCTCAAGGTTCAGGAGCGTCAGAACCGCGTTTGCACGACGGTGGCCATTGCCATTGTAGCCGAGACCTGTGCGCCCTTTACCGTCCTGCCAGGCTTGATGAACGAGTACCGCGTTCCGGAGCTCAACGTGCGTAACGGCGTGCTCAAATCACTTTCCTTCGTATTTGAGTACATTGGAGAGATGGGTAAGGACTACATTTACGCTGTCACGCCCATGTTGGAGGATGCACTGATGGATCGTGATCCCGTACATCGACAAACCGCTGCCTCCGTCATCAAGCACATGTCCCTGGGCGTGTACGGCTTTGGCAATGAAGATGCCCTGATTCACTTGCTCAATTATGTCTGGCCTAACATTTTCGAGGTGAGTCGCCTTGTCTAGTCTTCGAATTCGGGCTCCAACGGCCTGGCATGGCTGCCGGATGTTCATTCTTTTGATTCTTTTGTTGATTTTATTCTTTGTCTTGTGCTTGTCGAGTTGTGCTTGTCGAGTCATGTTTGTCAATATCTCAAATGTGAAGAAGATTTTGGACCATTTTTGCTGACTCTTGCGGTGACTTGCCCCCCACCCTTTTTTTCCTTTCATGTAGACATCGCCGCACGTGATTGGCGCCGTTATGGATGCAATTGGCGGTATGCGCGTGTCGCTGGGTCCCAACAAGATCTTGAGCTACACATTGCAGGGTCTCTATCACCCAGCTCGCAAGGTGCGCAACGTGTACTGGAAGATCTACAACAATCTATACATTGGAGCGCAAGACTCGCTGGTGGCGCACTACCCGACCATCCATAACGACGAAACCAACACCTATCGCCGTGCCGAGCTGGAATATGTCATGTAGACTAAGTGATAGGTGGGCGGGCACTGCCAACATTTTTAGATGCGGGTTTGGGCTGCATTTCTTGAGACGGTGCTTCTATTCTTTCTTTCTTTTTTCTTTGGTGAGGAAATGGAACCAAATTGACGTGGAACGATCACGAAAGCTGATTGTGGATTGCTGCATCTTTCCAGCCGACTGCTATTGTCTTGAACCAAAGAAAAACACGATGGGCCTGGTCTGATCACTGGAAGTGTTTTAATTTTTTTTTCCTTTGTTTGTGGCACTCGACGACCTCATCACAATGGCGGATGCCTTGGAATCGCGGGGTCTCAAACGTGGCACTTACACTCCGAGGCTCTGCATCAGAGTATGTGGTTACTTCTTCATGACAATCTCGATCGCGTCTTCATCAATCTGCAAGAAGAAGAAGAAGGGGGAGCGAGAAAAGGGACAGGGGGAAGAAGACGAAAGAAAATTAGAATCACCAAAGGCGAAAAGACAATAATTGGGCCGTTGGGGGGTCTGAATCAATACCTCGGGCCACTTGTCGGCGATGAAATCCTCAATATCGTCCGTCAAGTCACCTTGGACCAAGACTTCGTCCTCGCCCATAACGCTGCTCGAGGCTGCAAAGCGGCCTGACATGGCCTTGCTGACTTGCTTGAGGTTCAAACCTTTACAAATGAGGGGGCGAAGCAATTGGGTTAGCATGGCAACAGTGAATGGGCTGTAGCAACAAAGCGGAGTCAAGATCCTGGACCAAGGGGTTTGGACCAAGCTCGGGCAATGTGACGCACCATAGGCCTTGAGACCAGTGATGGACGTCACAAATTTCTTTTTGTTGCGGGTGGAACGCGTCACGATAATCTTCTTAACATCCTGACATGAGGGGGAGGAACGTGTGAGGCCCGGGCACCCTCGCTCGTTTCAAGCTTTTCCTACGACTGCGTGGGCACTGATCAACTCACTGCGCCCTTGCCCTTCTTGCCATCGGCAGCTGGACCAGCACCTGGCAGGCCCATCCAAGCGTGAGGTAAGTGTACACTAGCACGTGGACAACCTGGATCGAATGGGTGAAGACAAAGATTGATGGCATTAAGACGTACCTTTCTTCTTGTCCTCGGCCATCTCCTCGACATTCACTGAGGATGAATGCACCGGGGGTCGGATGTCAAAGGAGAAATGATCCAGGTGCAGAAGGGGAGCGGGGAATAGCGAGATACGAAGACAGCCTGTCCATCCAGCCCGGAGTGCAGAGATCAACGGCACTTACAATCACCATAGAGCTTGATAAAAAGGTTCATGTTCTTTTCCGTAAGGGCAGAAAGGCATTTCTTCTTGGTGGCACTGAACTCGCAATACTCGTACGGCATGGTACAAACTGCCAACCCCCAAAACAGACCACAAGCAACACCAAACCAGGCAAGTTCATTTGAGATGGAGGGGTGTGACAAGAACATCGGCATATCATCACACAGCGAATGAATATCTGGCGGGACAAGGCACGCCGTGCACACAAGTCGAGACGCACTGTTGCAATAGTCCACTTGGATGGGATCAGGAGCCGGAATCTCCTCCTCTTCCTCCTCATCGCCCTCAACCGCCTCGGGCGGCACCTCCGTCACGGGCTCCTCCTGTGTCGACATGTTGCTGTCGAGGTGATGGGCACAAGCCTTGATATCTAGCACCACCAACCCTTGACCTCGACTCTTGATCAGACAACGCTGCAAAGCCTTGAGGCGGGAAGAACTCGTGACTCTACAAGCTCAGGCAGAAAAAGTTGCGCGCCGGTCAAATGCACGCTTGACGTCACACACCAGCGCGCGTGTCTCTCTCTCTCTCTCTCTCTCGCTCTCTCTTGCTCTCTCTCTTGCTGTGACCATCTGTTTGTGTGTCATCCATATCGAGGAACAGGTGTGGTGAACAGCCGTTGCAGTTGATGTGATTTTTCCTCGACACAAACACTTTGTGCTACATATGTGTGTTGAGTTGGTGGGGGTCAAGAAGTGTACGGCTGTATTTTATCACCTACCTGAACAAGAGGTACCATCGACCTGGAGGAGACACACACACAGAAAGGAAGACACAGATCAAAAGACACAGTGGCTCCAAATGGCAGCCGGTTCTGCCCTGGTTGCACCCCATGGCTGGTGGGCAAGACCGGCTGCCTGCTTGGATCAGAATGAGGGGTGATGGTCAGGACCCTGTGTGGGCTCGTCTTCAGGAGAAAGGGCTGCGATCGCAGCCACTTCTACCCCCCTCCCGCCATCAGAGCATGCACATGCGAGCTTTGCTTGATCTCCGATCCAAGCGGATTTAAGGGGCAAGCGGGAGTGTCTGTCCCTAGACTCTCTCAGCGGGGCTGAAAGGTGGCTGGTCCTTAGTCGACCGGTGCCTCGCGTCTGCAAGGGGTTCTTCCTGTTTGCTCTTTCGCTTTTTTTTTTTTTTGCTTTTTTTGCTTTTTTTTCATGCATTTCTTCGATTCATGCTTTTGGCATTGCGGCAACGAATGACTTCCCGAGCGTTTGCCAGGAACAGTCGACGCTCAAAACACCGTCTCATCCTCATGAATCTCTCCTTACGTGCCTTTGTTAGCCATGGACTTTCAGCTGTTCCTCCTGTCCTGCCTCGTGGCACTCCTCTGCCTCGTCCCTGGCGTACGTGCTGTTGGTGTCAGGGCTGTTTCCCAACCACAGGCACATGTCCACTGACTGTGTTTGGCCGTGGCACTGCGACAGTCATGCCTCACTCTGGCTTGTGTATTTTTTTTTTTTTTTTTTTTTTTTTTTTTTTTTGGCGCAGGTTGAGGCCAAGATGACGGCCGGTGACGTTGTTGCTCTCCTCCTGGGCCTGGTTCTCGGCATCCTGGGCATCTGCGCTTGCATTGGCAAGTATGCGCGCAGCCGGGCATAAAGCCTTGGTGCTCTGTCCTACCCATCTCTGTTTCAAGTATTCCACCTGGCCTTCAGCGGAGCCTTGATCCCAAAGCCCGCCTGTGTGTACAGTTGTCTTAGGTTCCACGAGAATTGACGTCTTTGTGACTTGTCATGGACAGCTCGAAAACATGCTGTTCTCAGCTTATTCTGTTCCTTCTTCTCGGCTTCTAATTCTTCTCCTTCCCCCTTCTACTCGTACTTTTCATACACCATAATCTTAATCTTGGCGGCTGATCCGTGCAAACAAGTGCGTCACACAAAGTGTGGCAGCTGTAAATGGCCTCCCCAGGATCTCAATTCGAGTCAGGGAGCTGGAAGAGGCGCCGCGTGTGCGAGCAATTAGTTGATCTTGAGAAGCTCGACATCGAAGACCAAGGTCGCACCTATGAGGGCCAGTCGTTGTATGCCAAGAAGTGATCAGTAAGATGCAGGACCTTGCAAACACGGGAGGTTTTTTCATGTCTATGAACAACTGACCACCGGGGATCTTGGCGCCCGAGCCATGGTCGCCGTAGCCCAGATCCGAGGGGATGGTCAAGCGGCGACGCTCGCCTGCATACGAAACGCAAGCACGTGAGTGGCTCAACGCAGACGACCCAAGCTGAAAATGCCTGGTCACCATGCCTGACGGCAAAAAAAAAAAAAAAAAATGGGCTACCAAATATCGTACCGACACACATGTTGAGCAGACCGCGCTCCCAGCCCTTGATGACCATGCCCTTGCCAATCGTGAATTCAAAGGGAGAGCCGCGCGAGACGCTGCTGTCAAAAACCTTGCCGTCCTCGCGAGTCCAGCCAGTGTCTACACAAGCACCTCGTGATGAGGCATTCCACCGCACCCCGCCCAAACTCAACCGGGCAAACGGTCATCCGAATCCAGCCAGCCCATGCAGACCACCACCCAACACTACGCACAGTGCATGGAGAGCTGATCGCCATTCTGAGTCTTGCGAGTGCACTCCTCCTCAGGCACTCGGTGCATCACGCCGATGCGTAGCTTGGCGTCGCTGGCAAGGTTACCCTGTGAACAGCCAATGTTGTGGTGAATCAAACCCCCCTCCATCAACATCGGCGGCACGCGTCGTGTGCCCACTGCGCCGTCACCCTGCGCACACCCCGTACCTTGGCAGGCTTATCCTCGTTGGGATCGCTGTAGGCCACCACCATGGCAGTCAGGCAGAGCGCCAGCAATACGTTCCGAAGCATCATGATGGCTCAGATGAGGATTCCAAAAAACTCGATCACTGGTCAAAACTTGAAAAAAAAAATAAAGAAACAGAAAGAAAGAGGTGGGTCGGTGACGTGTCATGCTTCAAAACCCAAGTTCTGTTGCTTTTTACTGTTGTACAAGATGTTGTACAAGATTGAGATGGTCGAAATGCTGTACACGACTTGAGGCGTTTCTGCTGTTGATTTTGGGGAAAGATGTCGCAGTTTGATCCCCGCAGTTTGATCCCCCGTCCCCTTGAACTTGGTTGGACCTTGATGCAAACTAGAGCGCAAAGTTTGGTATGCTGTGCTTTCCTGCCAGACTGTAAAATCAAACGGGAGATTAAATTCAAGGAAGAGTATTTGGCCAAACAAAGAATGAGACAGCATGAAGCTGCGCCCGATAACGGGTGTCCCGCCTCTCTGTCTGCCGGGTCTCCTTGTGGGCGCGCAAACACCAAGTGTACATACATGTGAGGACACGAAGCCAAGAAAGAGCACAATGCACCGCCCAGGGAGACAAAACAAGAACGATGAAAACAGAAACCAGTGGGGATGATGATGAGCCAACAACAAAACAAAACAAAAACCACTTCTTGGCCACCAGGCGAGACAAGTAGAAACGAGCAGAGGCAAGATATGTGAAAAAAAAGTGGGAGCGCACAAAAGGTTCTGCGACAAGGGTGCAAGTCAAGGTACGGGACATAAAATGACAGCTAGTCACAGACAAGAAAGGCTGCACAACGACTCGCCCAGGGGCAGCCACAACACCACATGTCTCATGCCGGCCGCTAGCGGCTTAGGCGTCAGTCGACTTGACAATTGGGTTGCAAATTACATTCAGGATGGTCAGCCACAGCTCCTGAGCCTCCTTTGAGGGTGCTTCCAAATAGTAGCCGCGCGATACCGTCTACATTTCCCGGCCGGATGAGGCAACACGTTAGAAAAGTCATGGGACAGCACCCAGAGCTTCGGCTTGGCCCAGCGAATGTACCAAGAGTTCCCACAACAGCACTGTAGACAGGCAGAGAGACGACTCACCTCAATCATGAGAAGGTACTGTTGATGCTTTGAGTTTGATGGCTTCGAGCGGATGGTGCCGGCCGAAAGACGAGGTACAAAGGCACGCTCGACCTCAGCAATGGGGATATAGGCCTTTTCCTTGCTCGCGCGGTCACTCGAGTAATATTTGAGCAACATATCATCGAGATCCACAACGAACCAGCGGTGCTTCCAGCTGCGGCGAAATTGGCCCATCTTGTGCAACCAACCCTTGGCTGTGCGGCTGCCGACTTGTACCTCGGTGCAGTTGAGCACCACGGGCTTCTCTGCCAGCAGCTGTTTGACGCGAGCCTGCAAGTCAAAGTCGGGGCGTCGATAGTCGGCATCGTAGCGTGCCTGCTCCTCCGCGCGGCGCTCAGCCTCAAGGCGTTCCTCTTCCGCCTTGCGCTCCTCCTCTGCCTTACGCGCTGCAGCCTCGGCTGCTTCACGTGCCTTGCGCGCCTCCTCGGCCAAGCGCATTTGTTCCTCGGCCCGCAACTGAGCCGCCTTGGCATCCTCCTCCATCTTGCGCAGGAGCTCCTGATATTGAGCCTCCTTCTCTTCTTGTTGCTTCAGCAAGTTGGCCTCGCGCTCATCGGCCAAGCGGCGCGCCTCCGCAGCAGCCGTCTCCGCAGACACTCGCGCCTCCTCGGCCAGGCGTTTGTGCTCCTCCATCTCCTCGCGAGCCATGCGCTCCTTTTCGGCCGCCTCGAGTTGGCGCATTTTGCGCGACTTGGTGCGCTCAAAGGCCTGGCGTTTGACCTCCTTCTCGGCCTCCTCAGCCAAGCGACGCGCCTCCTCAGCAGCTTGCGAAATGCTCTCGAGCTCCTTTTGGCGCTCTTCAGCCAGACGACGCGCCTCCTCGGCCTCTTGACGAGCCCTGCACGAGTGAGCAAGCAAATAAGCGTGAGTTTGGCGTGTTTACACACACACACACACACACACACACACACACACACACACACACACACACACACACACACACACACACGAGACCAGCAGCCACATAGTTTGATTCCCATTTATCTGTCATCTTCACGCCAGTTTTAACGACTGCAGATACGTACAGTTCACGCTCCAGGGAAGCTTGCTCGGCCTTGCGTTGCTCTTCCTCTGCGAGGCGACGGGCCGTTTCGGCCTCCTGCTGCTCCCGGAATTTGAGCTCCTCCAGCTCGAGCTCTTTCTTGCGACGCTCCTCCTCGAGGCGACGAGCCTCCATCTCAGCAGCCTCACGGGCAATCTTGGTTTCTTCGAAGCGACGGGCGCGCTCTTCGGCCTCGATACGCTCGGCCTCGGCGCGCTCAGCAGCGCTCATGCGAGCACGCTCGAGGAGCACATTGTAGCGACGACGTGCAAAAAGAGCACGGGCGGCACATTGCACGCGCACAACGTCCTTGTAGTACTTCTCCATGAGACGCTCCAGTTCGTCGAGATGGTAAAACTTGAGGAAGAGTTTGGTCTTGCCGACCTTCCAGTTCTTCAGGCCCACCGTCTGAATGATCTTGACAGCAGAGGCCTCGCTCTCCTTGATCATGTTGAGCTTTTGAGCAGGGAAACCCAGAATTTTGTACCGACGTACAAACTCGGCAAAGACCGGACGCCACGAGTAGCCCTCCTGACGAATGCGGGTAGCCTCGAGGACACCTGTGTAGCCCAGTTGGGTGAGGACAAATTCATCGAGGAAGCGGTTGGGCTTCTGGTCAAGGTTGGGCTTGATGCAGCGGATGAAGTGAGGATAGCACGTGTTCATGCGATCCACCAGAGTGGAGAGTGAATTTTTAAACTGCGACGAGAGGGACGGCGTCTTGCGGTTGGCCGTTGAGGTACCCTTGTCAACGGGCTGCACCTGCTTGCCACGATGCATGCGCACCTCCTCGGGCGTGCGCTTGACGGCACGGATCTGGCCCGTGGGAAGGATGTCGCCATTGAACACGTCACCAACAATGTCGACCAGGGAGCCCTGCATCACGTTAACAATGTCGGCTGCCAGGTTGTCCCGGTTCTTCTCAATCATGTTGACGCCGCTGTACTCCACGTCGGCAGCAAAGTGCTTGATGGTGAACGTGGGGTGGCCACGCGAAACCTTGGCGGGCACAAAGCTGGGATGGCTACCAAAGTGCTGGCCCAACTTGGCCACAAACGACTCGTCCGTAGCCTGAGGGAAAGAGCATTCCTCATCCAAGAGGGAAAAGACGCCAATGGGCTTGTCCAAGAACATGTCCAAGAGGGGCTTGTTGTCCCGAAAGCTGATAGAGGCGCCGTCAATGCCCTCGGCCTCGTATTCCTCGAGCTCAAGACGGAAGGTGTGCTGGTTGAAGAAGAATTGCAGTTGCTCGTGGCTGACGTTGATGCACATTTGTTCAAAGCTGTTGGTGGTGAAGTTTTCAAAGCCGAAAATGTCGAGCACACCAATCTCATAAGTCGGGGCCTCCCGCTGGGCAGCACCGGGACGGCCCTTGGCGCGCTTGAGCTGCTGCAGCTGGGGTGAAAGCATCTCATTGATGCGTTGGACAATGTAGCCAAACATGCTGCCGTACAGGGCCTTGGCCAGGGCGTCACGGCAATCATAGGCCTGGTCAGCCTTGTAGAGGCGACGAATGTGCTCGCCGCGAGTCACTGTGTTGAGGCCAAGCAAAACCTCCTCGAGGTTGGCGGGCTCGACTTGGAGCAGCTCAGCGGCCGTCTTGAGGGGAGTGGAGTCCTTGACGTCAGCCTGTTCGCCCTCGGCATTGAAGTCAATGTTGCAAATGTGCATGACGGCAGCAAGGATGCTCTTGATGTCATTGCGCTCCTCATCGGTAAAGCCGACGTCATCGAGAGCATCGGCGAGCTCGTCCATCATGTCGGCATTGTCCTCCCAAACATCACCCCCCAAGTTGTGAAAATCCTTGGGCTCGGTCAGTTTGAGGCGTTCGCGCTCGGCCTCATCGGCGAAGAGGTAGTAAAAGACGTGAAAGTTGCGCTCGTGTTCCGCCTGCTCAACGACACGTGACTTTTCCAAGAGGTACTCGGAGATTTGGACACCCATGGCCCGGCCTTCCTTGTCAAAGTAGAGCTGGGTATACTTGCCAAAGCGGGAACTGTTGTCGTTCATGACGGTCTGGGCGTTACCAAAGGCCTCCAAGAGTGGGTTGATTTGAAGAATCTGCTCCTCAAGATTGGTGACAGCGGTCATGCCCACCTGCTTGTCCTTGTTGGTCTTGGGGCGGCAGAGCTCGATGATGTAGTTGACGACAAACTTGGCCGACTCGGTCTTACCCGCGCCCGATTCACCGCTAATGACAACGCACTGGTTGCGTTGCATCTCAAAGAGGTTGTGGTAGCACGCATCGGCGATGGTGTACACGTGGGGGGCAACCTTGTGGCGCGGCTGCTTGTAGTATTTTTTCATGTTCTCCGGGCCGTAGATGGGATACATCTGGAAGGGATTGACGGCAATGAGAATGTCTGAGACAAAGGTGTAGATCTTGCCGTTTTCGTAACGGATCTTGAGGTCTTGCAGCAGGGTGTTCTGGTTGAGATTTGTGAGCTTGGCCAGATCATCAACCTCACCGGACACATGGTCAGGTGGGGGCTGGTAAAACTGATCGTCATCCTTGTTAGGAATGGTCTCGGCGGCGGGTACGCCATCTTGGGCAGCCTCCACCTCGGCTTGATCGGCAGCAGCGGCCATTTGGGCAGCGGCGGATTCCGGTACCTCGGCTGTGGCAGCTTCGGGTTCGGGTTCGGCAACTGGTTGCTCAGCCGGCACCTCAGCCGGAGGGGCATCTACAAAATGCGATCAAAACAAGCTGTCAGATTGGCAGGTGTGTTGTAGAGCGAGCAAACCTACCAGATGGCCTCTCATCATGAAACGTACCGTCAGCCATAATGGCAATTAACTCAGAATTGAGTGAAGAGAACCTTGGGCCAACTAATAGGGTTGGAAAAAAAATAGGGAGGGGACACAAAGAAAGTGAGCGAGCAGGTGGACAGGTGGGACAGCTCAAGTGGAACAAAATAACGCAAGACTCAGGCACGCCATTGAAAGGGATGCCGAGTGAGGGAGGGATCAGAATGACAACGACACACCAAAACTGGATGTGAAAGGAAACAAAACACACAATGGGATTGAGCCAGTGGAAGTTCAAAAAAAAAAATCTCCCCTCCCAAGTAGAACGATGAAGAGGAGGAGAACCGGTGAAGGGAGGGGGCTGTCGGTACGATCTCGTCAGGAAGAGACCACCAAAATGAACGACGAACACACGCACACACATGCCAGCACCCCGCGGCGCGAGAAAAAGTGAATTTGCAATATCAATGCGACGGCAGGTGGGTGGGGCTTTGCTTTCAGATGTGACGAAAGCTCCAACCCAAGGTGTTGAGAGTATCCACCCCGTCCAACACCAAGGGAAAGGAGCGGAGAAGACCAGGAGCGAGCCCAAGTGGAAGGAACAAGAGCGAGCGAGCGAGCGGGCGGGCGAGCGAAAGGGGGCAGATGCAAGCGTGGCGACACAGCTCGAGCCAAGCGCGCAACTCTTCAAAACATCGACACCAAGGCACACCCGCAAAGGTACGGCACCCCATCAAACAACACAGCAGCATCCAGTCATGGTCGATACAACAACCATGCCTCTGCCTACCTCGATTTGCTGGCGGGGACAACAAGGACGGTGACGGATCACCCCTTTAAAAAAATCACGCGCGCGAGTTGTGTGGCTCTTCCTGCTGCTGGAAGCGGGTGTCGCTCAACTTGTGGTCGTCCACAAGAAAATAGAGCGAGAGACACTGAGTGTGTGTGTGTGAGAGGGAGAGAGAGAAAGCTCTTTTGTGTGTGTGTGTGTGTGTGTGTAAGTGTGTGTACTCTCTCTTTACCTCTCTTTACTACTCTCTTTCTTTACTCTCTCTCTCTCTTTCGCTCTTTCTGGGGCCCGCCAGGCTGCCGTTGTGAATAAAAGAATTGGCAATGGCCAAGAACAACCAAGAAGGTTTGGCCCGTGGTACTGGCAGTCAGCGCAGGTACGGCGCAAGCCCCCGCGCCCCCCCTGCCCTACGGTAGCGCCGGATCCAGGCAGGCACTTTGGGAGGACGAGTTTGTTGTTGTAGCCATATGTGTCCAGTGGGCGCGCGCTGACATTGCGCTGAACTGGACTTGACCTTGATCCAGAAGGGTTGATCTGCTACCATCTGTCATGCCCTGCGGGAATGGTGAGTGTGCATGTTCAAGCGCTACAACACTTTTTTGTTCTCGAGCGTGACGGGTGTTACACATGTTCAAAATGTCAGACGCTTTGGGCCGAATATCTGGTCGAAACGGGTGTTCTGGCCAGTTTGTCGGCGTGACTCTTGGTAATCTCCTGCTTGCGAGCGATCAGACATTCCCTATTACCCCCACGTGATTTTCTGCCGCAAAACAATACAGACCCCGTCTCGCGTGAAGGGCCCTCACTTTTCTCACCCCAGACTTCACCACCGCCAAGATGGTGAGTCGTCGTCGGTCCCCGGACCGCCCTGGACTGACCTGACCTTGACGGCTCGCCGCCCGTTGTACCCCGCTGCCCTTGCCTTCGTGGCTGCCTTGGCCTCGGTCGGGGGCTGTTGCCACAACGGCCCGGGCATGAGGCAAGGGGGTGGGGGCCAATTGGCGCATGCTGCGCGTTTTGAATGGATCAATACAACACATGGATGGCTGGCTGGCTGGCGCTTGATACTCGACCAGACATGCTGGATAGCTAGGAAGGGAGCTGCTGCGGCTCGCCATGCGCTGCTACACCAGCCCTTGAGACTGATTGGAGAGGCACTTGCCTTGGCTGGAGCCTGCGAGTGACCCCCGACTCAACTCATCGTGTAGCAGCGCTTGGGGTCGCGAGGGGACTGCCAGGTGGACAGCTCGATGCGACCATCGTGGAAGATGTTCCGGGGCGACATGCTCGCCATCCCCCCTGCAGTACTTTGAATGAAGGAAGGGCAGATGTGTTCAGCTTCAAAGTCCATGTATCTCCGTCTCTTTCTCTTTTCTAGCCAGCCAGCCAGCCAGCTATCTCGTGCCTGTCCTTGATTTATTGTGATCAAAAGATCTACCACCGCTGATTGGTATCGATGCGCCCCACCCTCATGCTGACACCCGGTGCTTTCTTTGGTTGTGTGCGCTTCCTCTAGGCCACCACGCCGTCTGTTCAGGTTTTTGGTCGCAAGAAGACCGCTACGGCTGTCGCCTACTGCAAGAAGGGTGTTGGTCTTCTCAAGGTCAACGGTAGCCCCCTCAACCTCTACCAGCCCGCTACTCTCCGCGAGAAGGTGTGTCGGGTCTTTTCAACGCGCTGGCTTGGTCCCTCGCAGACCTTGACTTTTGCCATGCCTTGTATCTTGAGGTGGCCGTCCTCATCTTGCTTCTGACTTTCGTTATCTTGCTGTTGCCAGATTGAGGAGCCTGTCAACCTCCTCGGCAAGGAGCGCTTCGACGAGGTCGACATCCGCGTCCGCGTCAAGGGTGGTGGTCACGTTGCCCAGGTTTACGGTAAGACCGGTTCTTGATGGTCGACCATTGCTGATTTCATTGCTCGTCCCAATTCGAGCTATGGAAGTCTTTGACTCGCATCATTCTTCTGGCCTCATTTCCCGGTTGCTTCCATTTTTATTTTTATTTTTTTCCTTACACAGCCATCCGTCAGGCCATTGCCAAGGCTCTGGTGGCCTACTACCAAAAGTACGTCGACGAGGCCTCCAAGAAGGAGATCAAGGACATCCTCCTCCGCTACGACCGTACCCTCCTTGTTGCTGATCCCCGCCGCATGGAGCCCAAGAAGTTCGGCGGTCCCGGTGCCCGTGCTCGCTACCAGAAGTCTTACCGATAAAGCTCCGCGCCTTTATTGGTGCGGGGAGGGAGTGGCATCTGTTGCATGCCTGTCGTTCTGGTCATGCTGGCGTGCGGTTAATACAATGGATACCTCTCTTTTTTATGAACCTTTTATTAGTTTTCTGTTTTGTCACTCCTCTCTTTGCGCGTCTTCTCCCTCCATCGACACGATCATCATGCACGCAGTAATCCTGACGGCCGGCAAACCACACACACACACACACACACACACACACACACACACACACCAGTGGTAAACTAAAGCCTCTATTGCTTGGCCATCATGACGACCCATGGTCTCACTGTGTCTCATTACAAAGACATGAGCGCCTTGTCAACAAACATGACATCAGGAAGAGAAGCTGATGACTTGGGCCTAGAACGACCATCGAATGGAACATGTCTGCCATGGCGTCCTCTATGATAGGTCCTTGGCATGGCAATCGTCGCACACACGAACAGGCGCTTTGAAGGCCGGCAGCTTGGCCTTGCGAGACGAGCATTTATCACAATAGACCCCTCCGCAGTTTCTATTCACGCCCGGTGCGATGCAACACACAAGGCGTCATGCTGCTGCAAATGCCACAGCTTGGGCCAAACGAAAACAGCGTTGTGCCCTTTCACACTCACCGACAGTGATGGCGTCGCAAGCTGAGAGAAAAGTTGCGTGAACACGATTTGCATGTCTTGACCTCGGCATCTGGGGTCCATTCCCTACGGTGAACATGCGCGTGCCGCCCAGAATGAAGGATTCATATCATTCAACCGTCACCACTCCTAACAAGAGCCCTACCACCGACCTACCGCCCCTGTGCCTCGGCAATCTGCATGCGCAATGCCTGGTTTTCCTCGGCCAGCGCAGCAAGGCCCTGTTGCTGATCTTGAAACTGCTTGCGCATCTTGCCCATATTAACCTTGGCCTGCGCGAGCTCTTTGTCCGCAGCATGTACTCGACTTGCCAGCTGATCGCGCTCTCCATTCAAGCTGACCACTATACGCAATACCCCAAGTGAGCTACCATATGCTGACCAAGCCACGACACCTCGGCGGCGCCGCAGAGATTCAAGAGACTCCCAGTTTCCCACTTGTCCACACACACACACACACACACACACACACACACACACACACACACACACACACACACACACAAGGGAAGAAATAAAAAACCGGGGGTCATGCCATTATCCTAGTCTCCTGATGCACGCTTTACAGGATACGCACCTGAAGACTTGACGGTCACAAGTTGCGCCTCGAGCTCACGCAGTTGAGTTGCGAGACCCTTGTTTTCCAACTCGGCATCATGGAGCTGACCACTCAGCTGCACGATACTTTGTTGACTAGTTGCGCGCTCCGTTTCGCTGTGCGTTCGCACCTCCTGAAGCTCGCGCTCAAATTCGGCGCGCTCAGTGGCCAGGGATGCATTGAGTGATTGCATCCGAGCAGCCTCCGCTTTGGCTTGCTCGGCCTCGCGCTCCCACTTCTGCGTTTGGCCGCGCTGTTGCTCAAACTTCTCACGAACCTCTTCCAGTTGCTTCTGCAGCCCCAGCTTCTGTGAAACGAAAACTGATTTGGATTCCTCCAGTACGGTCTGTGCCTCTTGAAGCTCTTCAGCCAATCGTGCTTGCTCTGCCTGTAGCACAGCACGCTCTTGCTCCAACTCCTCCACCTTGCCTTGCAGCTGAGTTTGACTGGACGTGCAAGCCTCCAAGGCTGCTGCGTGTTGATCAGCAATTGTGCTTTGCTCCACTTGCATCGCCTCCATCGTCGACCGCGCTTCGTCACGCTCCGTCTCGAGCTTGCTGACCTGCGATTGGAGTTCCTGTTGCACTGAGCTCAGCTCTGCCTCAAGTTCACTGACGCGATGCTTTGCGTCACTGGCGGCGACTTGAGCGGTTGCCACCTGCTCCTGCACCTCGGCCAATTGCGCTTGAACCTCCATCAGCTGCGCTTCACGGGCTGATAGGGCCGTGGCTTGCTCGGTCAGCTCTTCGACCTGGTGCGCACACTTTTTGTTCAGCTTCTGCAGACTGTGTTCGTACTCCTTGCACGTTTCACAAGGCATGGCCAACATCTCTTGGGCTTGTGCCATTTGCCGAAGCAGGTTGGCGGTTGTCTATCAACGCCCGCACATCACACAATGCATCAGCCCCCTCCGAGCGGTCGGTAGCCCCTTCCACGCGTATTACAGGCGCTCACAACTGCGGGCTCCGAGGGCATCAAACCTACCTTTTCCTGTTGAAGCAGGCGACCTTCCAGCTGCTCTGTCAACTCTGAGCGCTCTTCCAATCGCGAACGAAACACCTGAAAATCATAAACCCCGCCCAGCATGGATAAGATGTCCCCGGCTCACAATCCGCCCGCCTGGCAACGTTGTACGGTGGACACCACCTTCGCCTTGAAAAGCGCCTCAAGCGGGCTCACTGAGATATTCTCACACACCTTGTTCTCTTCCTCGAGGGCGTCAATCCGCGTCATCTGCAGTTTAACCTTGTCGTGTGCATTCTCCAACTGTCCCCGAGACTCGTCCCGCGCAGCCTCGGCTGCCTTGGTGGCCTCTGCTAGACGCGCTTGCTCTGCAACCTGCTCAGCATGCGTGGACTCTAGTTGTGTCACCTGAGCTTGCAAGGCATCACATGTTGCAGTTGCCTTTTGTAGCTCCAGTCGTTGTGCTTCAATCTGTGCTTCCAGCTGCTGTCGAGCCAATCTAGCGGCAGATTCTTCATTCTGAAGCTGTGAGGTGGCAGTACTTGCTTGATCGCGGGTGCGTTGCAGCTCGGCTTGCAAGGCATCGCGCGCCGCCACAGCATCTCCCAACGCCAAAGCCTGCTCATTCATCTCAGTCTGCAGAGTCTCGAGCTGATGCGTTGTGGCTTGGTGGGCATCGGTGACCCGTGCCATGTCACGCTCCAAGTTTGCAATGCAAGTGGTCTGTGCCTCATGTGCAGTCTCCAACTCTGCATGCGCCTGTTGTTGTTCGTGAGCCGCATTGCGTAGACTCCGAATCTCGTCCTCCAACTGTGCTGCTCGATCCTTGTATTGTTGCAGGGCTGTATCAAGCACAGATCCCTTGGCCGTCACCTTTTCAATCTCTTCATCCGTGCCCTCCGGCTCGACTTGGTCGGCATTGTCTGCAGCGTTGGCGGGCGCGGCATCCTCGACAGCCGCTTGCTTCTCGGCCTCGAGATGTTGTTGCAGGATCTGTTCTTTCTCCGCGACGAGCTGTGAGATGCGATCTTCTAGCATGTGGGCCTGCACACGCGCGTCAGCCAGCTCTTGCGCTCTGTGGCGCTCTGTGGTTGTCGCCTGGACCAGCGCCTGCGCTTGAGTATCGTTGGTTACCCTGAGCTCAGCCAATTCGGTTTGCAGTAACGCCAAGGTCTGGTCGCGTGCTTGTTGCTCCCGCCGTGCCAAGTCCAGCTCAGCCTGAAGTCGCGATGCGGTAGCTTGTTGCTCAGTGCTGCGTGCTTGGAGCGCCGTGTACTCGCGCTCTGCTTGCTCGGCCGCGGCCTGCCGCGCTGACTGTGCCTCTTGCAGTTCGCGTTGCGCTGATGCCAAGAGCCGCTCCAGCTCTTGAACTCGTTCTGCAACCTGGTCGTCGGTGGCCGGAGCCACAGGGTCGCTTGTCGACGATGCCATGTTGGCGCCATCCGATGTTGTATTTTCAGCCACTTCAACCTCGGGTGCACTCTCGGACTCGGTAGACTCTGCGACCGGGTTGGTTGCCGACAATGTTTGCGCTTGAACTTGACGCGACATAAAGTCAAGAGCCGTCTGCAACGAGGTTTTTTCCATAATGGAACTGCTCAAGTCCGTCTGGGCTCATGCCACAAAGCACAAAGTGATAGCCATGGCAAAGGTGAGCATGCATGTGTTGAGATGCAGTCGACGCGATAAGGAGCAGATTGGGTTGCCGAGCCGGCGACGTTTTACGCACCTCTGCCTCCTCCAAGCGCGTGCGCAATTGAGTGTTCTCCCGACGCAGGGCACGCACCTCCTGATAGAGCACACAGCAAAGATGTGCATGAGAAGAGCCATATCATATGGGTGGTTTTGCGCCTGCACAGATCGGCGCCAAGGCTGTGCGTGAGTAAACACATCATCAAAAATGGAGCATGTCCACAACCTTGTGCACGTCGTTGTCCTTGACTGTCTGTTGCAGTTGCTGTAATTCCTCCTATTACAGCGAGAATGGTACCGTGAGCTGCTGCGTGTGGCAGCGTCGACCTGGTGCGAATTAAACGTGCTACCTGAGTCTTTTCCAGCGCTGACTCAAGCTGACGATTGTGGTAGCGCTCTTCCTGATGCTTGACCCGCCATTCCTCAACCTCTTGCTCCAACATAACCACTTGTCGCGCCGCACGCTCTTTGCTCCTACGCAAGTGGGACGCACAATCCAGCGCACGGCAGATGCAGATGCAGACGGCAAAGCCACAGGGACAAGCACAAAGAAATAGGATGAGATCTGGTAAAAGGTGGCTATATGGTGTAAGAGCCGGGCACGTACGAAGCACCAAATGAGGGCGTGGAGGGGGTCGCAGTGACGCTCGCGGGCGAGTCGGGATATGAGTCCAGCTCTGCGGCCGGCGGGCCTTCTTGCTCGCTCAGATCGACGAGTAAGGATGATGGCGCGTGGCTCGAGGATGTTTTGCCGGCACGTGAAGCAGCAGGGATCGGATGTTCACTTTGCCCCTCAGTGACAGTGGATGCGTGACTCTGACCCACGTCGGTGTCGGTGGACTGGGCATCATCGTCACTGTGACTTGAGGTGTGGGCTTCCAGATAGTGGGTTTGCAAATCCTCGAGTCGACCAAATTGCTGGCCTGTGCAGATGGTGCACTTGAACGTCGGCTTCTCATCAGCCTCGCTTGCCTAAGAGGCAAAAAGGAAGCCATGGTGCAGATGGTTGCCCTTCGTCGTGAGCGGCAGGCAAAGCGCGCGAGGAACCGCTACCATTCGGCGGGAGGCGTTTACTACCTTGGCCGTGGCCGCATCCAGCTTGCGGCGAAACCAGCTCATGGCGACAGGATCAAGCGTGAAGTGACGCCGCACCAAAACCAAGTCTTGCTTCTCAATGCGACGTTGGCGCGCCAAGCCCTACTCA